AGGACGGATAATACATGAGGCAACAACAGCGTCGAATTTCATGTATTTGCATGCGTATCTTTTTCGGGGGAAGGATACGGAAATGGACGTATGCAACGACGTCTAGTTTTATTGTGTGTGTTGTGGACGGCAGTTGGGCAGGGTACATTGTAGCGATGAAGGTTGGATTTCAGTGAAAGTATTTACCTAACAGCGAAGACTGATAGGTTTCTAGTAGGGTCAAAAGAGAGCATCATGACGCCCCAGGGGGGTCTGGGCGCGATCCGGGGGAGGGTGCCGGGGATTTGTTTAACCTAACAGCGAAGACTGGTAGGTTTCTAGTAGGGTCAACAGAGAGCATCATGACGCCCCAGGGGGGTCTGGGCGCGATCCGGGGGAGGATGCCGGGGGGATACCAGGGAACTCGTTTTAAGCAAGCAGTAACGCACTTCGTGGTCTTCGAGTTCCCAGAACTCCATTCCTGGGCATGATTTTGAATGCCCGGAGCCCACTGTAGGCCACTTCGTGTTCTTCGAGTTCCCAGAACTCCATTCCTGGGCATGATTTTGAATGCCCTGAGCCAACTGTAGGCCACTTCGTGGTCTTCGAGTTCCCAAAACTCCATTCCTGGGCATGATTTTGAATGCCCGGAGCAAACTGTAGGCCACTTCGTGGTCTTCGAGTTCCCAGAACTCCATTCCTGGGCATGATTTTGAATGCCCGGAGCCAACTGTAGGCCACTTCGTGGTCTTCGAGTTCCCAGAACTCCGTTCCTGGGCATGATTTGAATGCCTGGAGCCAACTGTAGGCCACTTCGTGTTCTTCGAGTTCCCAGAACTCCATTCCCGGGCCACATTTGGAATGCTGAGGCAGGCTGATGTTGAGGCTGAGGCAGGCTGAGGCTGAGGCAGTCTGAGGCCGAGGCCGAGGCTGTAGGCAGACTGAGGCTGAGGCTGAAGCAGGCTGAGGCTGAGGCTGAGGCAGGCTGAGGCTGAGGCTGAGGCAGGCTGAGGCTGAGGCTGACTGAGGCTGAGGCTGAGGCTGATGCAGGCTGAGGCTGAGGCAGGCTGAGGCTGAGGCCGAGGCTGAAGGCAGGCCTGAGAGGCTGAGGCTGAGGCTGAGGCTGAGGCTGAGGCTGAGGCAGGCTGAGGCTGAGGCAGGCTGAGGCTGAGGCTGAGGCAGGCTGATGCTGAGGCAGGCTGAGGCTGAGGCTGAGGCTGATGCAGGCTGAGGCTGAGGCAGGCTGAGGCTGAGGCCGAGGCTGAAGGCAGGCTGAGGCTGAGGCTGAGGCTGCTGAGGCAGGCTGAGGCTGAGGCTGAGGCAGGCTGAGGCTGAGGCAGGCTGAGGCTGAGGCCGAGGCTGAAGGCAGACTGAGGCTGAGGCTGAAGCAGGCTGAGGCTGAGGCAGAGGCAGGCTGAGGCTGAGGCAGGCTGATGCTGAGGCAGGCTGAGGCTGAGGCTGAGGCTGATGCAGGCTGAGGCTGAGGCAGGCTGAGGCTGAGGCCGAGGCTGAAGGCAGACTGAGGCTGAGGCTGAAGCAGGCTGAGGCTGAGGCTGAGGCAGGCTGAGGCTGAGGCTGAGGCAGGCTGATGCTGAGGCAGGCTGAGGCTGAGGCTGAGGCTGATGCAGGCTGAGGCTGAGGCAGGCTGAGGCTGAGGCCGAGGCTGAAGGCAGACTGAGGCTGAGGCTGAAGCAGGCTGAGGCTGAGGCTGAGGCAGGCTGAGGCTGAGGCAGGCTGAGGCTGAGGCTGAGGCAGGCTGAGGCTGAGGCTGAGGCTGAGGCTGAGGCAGGCTGAGGCTGAGGCCGAGGCTGAGGGAGGCTGAGGCTGAGGCTGCAGGCTGAGGCTGAGGCTGAGGCAGGCTGAGGCTGAGGCTGAGCAGGCTGAGGCTGAGGCAGGCTGAGGCTGAGGCCGAGGCTGAGGCTGAGGCTGAGGCTGAGGCAGGACTGAGGCTGAGGCTGAGGCTGAGGCTGAGGCTGAGGCTGAGGCAGGCTGATGCTGAGGCAGGCTGAGGCTGAGGCTGAAGCTGAGGCAGGCTGAGGCTGAGGCCGAGGCTGGAGGCAGACTGAGGCTGAGGCTGCAGGCTGAGGCTGAGGCAGAGGCAGGCTGAGGCTGAGGCTGAGGCTGAGCAGGCTGAGGCTGAGGCTGAGGCTGAGGCTGATGCAGGCTGAGGCTGAGGCAGGCTGAGGCTGAGGCCGAGGCTGAAGGCAGACTGAGGCTGAGGCTGAAGCAGGCTGAGGCTGAGGCTGAGGCAGGCTGAGGCTGAGGCAGGCTGAGGCTGAGGCTGAGGCAGGCTGAGGCTGAGGCTGTGACTGCGACTGCCGTTGCCACTGCGACTGTCATCGCGAATGCGACTACGACTGCGAGAACAGCAGAATTCTACAACTGGATTCTCATCTGAATCTTAAGGGGAATGCTTCCAGATATGCTCCTACACATCGCTGTTAGGTTGCTTTGCCGGGATAATTAGTTAACAGTTACACACTTCGCGGTCTTCGAGGTCCCAGAACTCCATTCCCGGGCCACATTTTGAATGCCCGGAGCCAACTGTAGGCCACTTCGTGGTCTTCGAGTTCCCAGAACTCCATTCCCGGGCCACATTTTGGATGCCCGGAGCCAACTGTAGGCCACTTCGTGCTCTTCGAGTTCCCAGAACTCCATTCCTGGGCCACATTTTGAATGCCCGGAGCCAACTGTAGGCCACTTCGTGTTCTTCGAGTTCCCAGAACTCCATTCCCAGGCCACATTTTGAATGCTGAGGCAGGCTGATGAGGCTGAGGCTGAGGCAGGCTGAGGCTGAGGCCGAGGCTGAAGGCAGACTGAGGCTGAGGCTGAAGCAGGCTGAGGCTGAGGCTGAGGCAGGCTGAGGCTGAGGCAGGCTGAGGCTGAGGCTGAGGCAGGCTGAGGCTGAGGCTGAGCTGCTGAGGCTGAGGCCGAGGCCGAGGCTGAAGGCAGACTGAGGCTGAGGCTGAAGCAGGCTGAGGCTGAGGCTGAGGCAGGCTGAGGCTGAGGCTGGCTGAGGCAGGCTGAGGCTGAGGCAGGCTGAGGCGAGGCTGAGGCGAGGCTGAGGCTGAGGCTGAGGCAGGCAGGAGAGGCTGAGGCTGAGGCTGAGGCAGGCTGAGGCTGAGGCAGGCTGAGGCTGAGGCTGAGGCTGGCTGAGGCTGCAGGCTGAGGCTGAGGCTGAGGCTGAGGCTGAGGCTGAGGCCGAGGCCGAGGCTGAAGGCAGACTGAGGCTGAGGCTGAAGGCAGGCTGAGGCTGAGGCTGAGGCTGAGGCTGAGGCTGAGGCTGAGGCTGAGGCAGGCTGATGAGGCTGAGGCAGGCTGAGGCTGAGGCTGAGGCTGGCAGGCTGAGGCTGAGGCTGAGGCAGGCTGATGCTGAGGCAGGCTGAGGCTGAGGCTGAGGCTGATGCAGGCTGAGGCTGAGGCAGCTGAGGCTGAGGCGAGGCTGAAGGCAGACTGAGGCTGAGGCTGAAGCAGGCTGAGGCTGAGGCTGAGGCAGGCTGAGGCTGAGGCTGAGGCAGGCTGAGGCTGAGGCAGGCTGAGGCTGAGGCAGGCTGAGGCTGAGGCTGAGGCTGGCAGGCTGAGGCTGAGGCAGGCTGAGGCTGAGGCCGAGGCTGCAGGCAGACTGAGGCTGAGGCTGAAGCAGGCTGAGGCTGAGGCTGAGGCAGGCTGAGGCTGAGGCTGAGGCTGAGGCAGGCTGAGGCAGGCTGAGGCTGAGGCTGAAGCTGATGCAGGCTGAGGCTGAGGCAGGCTGAGGCCGAGGCCGACGGCAGAGGCTGAGGCAGAGGCAGGCTGAGGCTGAGGCTGAGGCATGCTGATGCTGAGGCAGGCTGAGGCTGAGGCTGAGGCTGATGCAGGGTGAGGCTGAGGCAGGCTGAGGCAGGCTGAGGCTGAGGCCGAGGCTGAAGGCAGACTGATGTTGAGGCTGAAGCAGGCTTAGGCTGAGGCTGAGGCAGGCTGAGGCTGAGGCTGCGACTGCCGTTGCCACTGCGACTGCCATCGCGAATGCGACTACGACTGCGAGAACAGCAGAATTCTACAACAGGATTCTCATCTGAATCTTAAGGGGAATGCTTCCAGATATGCTCCTACACATCGCTGTTCGGTTGCTGCCGTTTTTTTTAGAAAACAGGTTGGAGCAACGTAGAGCAGGACAGAGTCGGTTGAGAGACGCCAGGATATGGTCGGGGTTCGTTCTCGCGGTCATCTATTATGTCTGAGGCCTAGGCTAGTCAATTCTGCATGCTGAGCGGCTCCAGGCTGAAGGTCAATTGCCAAGGCCTCAAGGCAGCCTGACAATGCAAAGCAACGCGTGCACATGACCGAAAAGCAAAAGCTGAACGCCAACGGCTTCAATTCTAGTGTACGTTCCCGTGCCCAAGAATATCAGGGAATGTTGTGACGGGGGCTCATGCGAATCCTGGCGTTTATCCGCCAACGGGCGCATGCCAACGGCTGTATGTTATATATATACACCTTTGTTAGCTACAGTGATGGCCACAGATGAAAAGTTCGCTGCAGAGCCGGCCCCATTTTGGACAAGTCGGATCGCTCCACCGATAATTACCGTTTTCGATAGATTGGTGGACCGCGGTTGTTTCCCTCCTCGGTCACACCCATGTTGTTCAGACGCGACTGCCCAGAATCCCCTCGCCTCTCAGGGAAGACACAAAGGTGCGAATGCGAAACTAGTTTTCCTCCCGCGCACCTGTCCGCACTTCACCCCCCTACCCCATTCAACCCCCCCAGCACGTCCCCCCCATCCCAGACGTCCGTCGTCGTGATCCTTTCAAAACGCCGATCACCAGAGGACTGGAGTCCTTTCTCGGGACCAGTCTTTCATCCCGAGTAGTTTTGTCATTGTCTCTGGGCCAGTGAAGGCTCACCAGAGGTCGACAACGGTGTATTCTCCGCCGTGTTTGCTCACAACGCGAGGATGTCAGGGATCCCCCCCGAGCCGTCCCCCTTCACTCCTCGACCCGTCCACCCTCCTTCCTCGAAGTATTGCCCCGGCGGCCATCGAGGTCTCAACATGGCCTACGTGGCGTGCGGGCGGTTGGACGCCGGGTTCGAGATGGGCTCTTGGGAGCTGAACCACGGGCCGAAGATTTGGGATTTTGCTGCCGGCAAGCTGCTAGTTGAGGATTGCCGTCCCGCGCCACCCGCCAGGAAGCAAGCAGGTCCTGAGGGGAACGGGTCCTGAGTTTCTTCGCCGTTTTTGGCCCGTGAACGGGCCGAGAGGTCCAGGGCCACGAGACTCGAAAATATCTGCCTCATCATCCATCTCCTCTTCTTCCTCCTCATTGACGGGGAAGCACCCTGCTGGCGGATCGGGTGCCAGTCCGATTGAGGGAGCCGGTCTCGTTGTCACTTCCCCTCCAGCGTCTCATTGCAATTGCCCGCGCGCGAGGCTCTCGTTTAAGAGTGAGGATCTTTTTGTTGCTCTCTGCCAGCCGCTTCTTGCGGCGTGCCCTCGTGGAAATATGAGAGGCTCGCAGACTTGGAGGGAACGTGGCAGGTTGTTGGGTCTCGTTTTCTCTTGGGGTTCCCCCCCCTCCCCCGTGGCGTCCCCCTTGTGTGCACCCCTGCTGCCGTTGCTTCTTTGCCAGTACTGCTACTTGCTCCCTCCCCTGTTTGTCCCCATTTGCTGCTGCTCCGCTGTGCCTCTGCGCTTGATGGTGGCGGTGGTTGGTTGGGCCATTTGCCTGGCTTCGGGTGATATGCACGTTTCGTTGGCGGCTTGGCGGCGCCTCGCTTCCTGTCGTTTGCGCGCCAGGGGAGGAAGCAACCGTCCAACAGAGCACCTCGCCGTCCCCATGCCGCCCCTCTTGCTTCTCTTCCGCGTCTTTCCTGCTTTCTCGCTGGCTCGCTACCTCCTCTTCCCGATGGGGCATGTACTCGCAAGCGGGCGGCACGCCGCTATTCTGACGGATGACATACAGAGCCTGAGTGCGTCTGCAGTGGAAGCAAACTCCTCTTCCTGAGAGACAACGCCCCTGCCCCAGCGCCAGGTGGCCGCTACCCCGCGTGGCACAAACATTCCCGGATTTTTCAGCGGATAGTTTTTGTTTCCCCACTGTATCCTCCGTTTCCTCCTCGTCCTCCCTTGTTGGTATCCTCTCCCTTTCCTTGTTCCTCCTCCTCCTCCTGCTTTTCTTCTTGTCCTCCCTCGTCCTTCGCTTCGTCGGAGGTCCGCATCCGCGCCCCCCTTTGCCCTGCAGGAGGCGGGGGGCATAACGCGCGACGTCGCCGGTCCGCTGCCGGCGGAGGCGCCGCTGGATCTGCTGGGGCGCAGTTTCTTCGCGGCGTCCTCGCGGTGCCTCGCCGCAGAAGTGATG